AAAAAAAAAAAAAAAAAAACTGGTTTCACTTAACACTCAGCTTGCAAAATTCCTGAAAATTTAGCCATCAACTTTCATAAGCCTGTTATGAATTGGCTTCAGACCACTGTTGGGAGAACATACCAGTGACTGGCTCCCCATGAGGACACTGACCTCCTGACTTGTAAGTGGGAGTGGGGTTGGTCACCTCCTCAGGGAAAGAGGAAAGAACCAGGAAGCCTGGCTGCATATCCCTGGGAGCGGCAGATAGGGAAACACAGCCTGCACTGGGTTTGCTTCCCTTCACAGATCCAACCTGGTGAGCAGCCCAGACCTGGCTACACTCAGTGAGGAGGAAGCACGCCTCCTACTGGCTGCACTGGTGCAGGACTATGTGCAGAGGAAGGCGAGTGAGCTGGAACAGGAGCTGGAGACAGAGGGCTCCAGGTAAGGCTCCCCAGCTACCCAGGTCAGGACCTCCTCTCTCCTCCCACTCAGGAAGGTGTAGTCCAGGTAGGAGAGAACACACTGGCCAGGGTCCAGCAGACCATGATTGTTCAACAGGATCTGGGGCCCAGCTGTTTTCGGGCTCTGTGAGAGACAGAAGTCCAATGCAGGTGGAAGGACTGTTAGACACATTAAAAAGTTGCATTTCTGAAACTGTGAGGAAATGAAATGGGGAGGTGTGGAATGGTCGCTGGGGGGATTGCTTTTGCAGTACTGGAGAGACCACCCAGGTAGGATGAGTTAAAACTGGTAAGGGCAACATGGATAGAGCTGGTGTATCTCGGGAGATTTTAGAAATTTGGCTCTACCTTGTTAATCTGCAGATAACATTCTTTCACCCCTGCAAGGAGCCTTCATTTCACATTTTCAAGGTGAAGCCCTTGCAAGGGGTGGGGACAAATAGAGCAGAGTCTGAGGCAGGCCTGGGTCTCTAGATGTATAGCATCTGTGGAGAAATGCATGTTGTCACTGGGGTGGGGAGGGCACCCTTACCCAGTTCCACCTCCCCACACACCCTGAACCTGAGCAGAGACCAGCCTGGCCCCAGCACTACCTGGGCAGAGGTGTCTGTTGTACCTGCATCCTCCCCAAGAATCCCTCTGCTGAGCATGGGGGTCTGAACAGCATGTAGAATGCCAGAAAAGCTCACCCTTCCCCACTCAGCCCTTCCCCACACCACCCTGCCCCACTGGACCCCTGAGCTCTCCTAATAGAGGCTGTGTGAGCTGACCCCTGCCTGTCCCTCCTGCTCCCACTCAAAGAGCCCCCACACAGTCCAGTCTTCTGAGTGACTGTCAACAGAGGCAGCCTTTAGTGCATGGTATTATCTGGCATGTCTTTTCCCTGCAGCCTGGACAGCCCCAGATCTAAGCGGTGCGGTAATCTGAGTACTTGCATGCTGGGCATGTACACGCAGGACTTCAACAAGTTTCACACGTTCCCCCAAACCTCAATTGGGGTTGGAGCACCTGGCAAGAAAAGGGATATGGCCAGCAACTTGGAGAGAGACCACCACCCTTACATGGGCATGCCCCAGGGTGCCAACTAAACGCCTTCCTTTCCTTTCTAATTTCCTTTCTTGCTTCTTTCCTATAACTTGATGCATGTGGTTCCTCTCTGGTTGCTCTTCAGTCTGCTCTCAGTGGCTTTCCTTGTGGCAAAGCATGTCTGGAACCTCAGGTGGGAAGAGAAAGAACGGGACTCACAGGCTGGAAGAGAATCGCCAGAAGAGATCAGAGAGTGAGGGCAGCCCTGAGTCCCCTGAGGATTCCATAGCAGAGCTTTTACTGTCCTGCTTCTGTGCTGGTCATTTGGGGAATAAAGCTATTTTTCTAAAAAGACCCAAGCTGTGGCAATTATTGCTCTGGCCCATGACCCAGGCTTCATGGTATCTAGGACATGTACTTAGAAGTAGCCTTAACCCTAGAGTAGCTGGACAGAGGGTATCAGGACTGGTCTCTGTGACTGAGCTCAAGCAGCAAGAATGGGGGTGCTAACAAGCAGGTAAGCACCTCTGGGAATGGATGCTGCAGACTTCACCCTCTTCCTCTTCCAGGTAAGACTGGGGAATTTTTATTTTCCTAAGAGGGGAATTTTTATTTGATACCTGTGACTGGGGCACGGATTCTACAGTTCTTATGAATGGGGTTGGGCATGGTGCCATATTCACTCTTGTCTCCTAAACCTTTGCTAATTTTTAGTCTGTTTATACAGGAAAGATCAGCTATTAAGCTCACTATTCCATGGCCAGTTACCCAGAGTCACCGTTGGGTTTTCTGAGGTCCCCAAGAATGTCTATGGGGAATGATCATGGCATTTTCCCTAATGGCTTTGTGATTTTCTGCTCTGATAATGGTGTTTAGGAGAAACACTTAAGGTTAATTGGTGCCTCTCAGAGATGCAACTTTACCATGATGGTCTCATGGGGCAGGTTCCTCCCCCAAACTCTCACTGGCAGATCTCTTATTGTTTCTTCATCCTGAAAATCAGCATCACTGCCCAGAAGAGATCCTGCAACACTGCCACCTGTGTGACTCATCGGCTGGCAGGCTTGCTGAGCAGATCAGGAGGCATAGTGAAGAGCAACTTCGTGCCCACTGATGTGGGTTCCGACACCTTTGGCCGGCGTCGCAGGGACCTTCAGGTCTGAGTAGCTAAATGCCTCCAGGAAGAAGGTGACTACCTTTGTACTGTGGGACGGGAGGGTGGGTGACAAAGTATTGCAGGGGTAATTTATGTTCTAAGCCTGCCAGGAACCATATGGTTGAGAACAACCCACAGGGGAAAGTATCCACACGGGTATCTGGAAAAAGGGCACTAAGATCCAATAGCTGAAACCCTCAAATTTGGATTTATCCTCTATTTTTCCAAACTCTCCTTCTAACATTGAGCTCACTAAGCCCAGAAATACAGAGCCTGTTTATTTCAAACACTATTCCTTGCCTTTACAATTGTGGGTATTCTAGCATTTGAATTTGAAAGACAATGGCACTATCCTTTTAGAACAGTGATTTTCAACTGGTGTGCCATGGCACACTGGTGTGCTGAGCAGATCTTAGGTGTACCATAAAAATTTTTAAAGATCATTACTTAAATGATTTTCAGAAGAAGTTCCAAGCACAGTAAGTATATTCTTTTTTTTTTTTGAGACGGAGCCTCAAGCTATTCCCTGGGTAGAGTGCTGTGGCATCACAGCTCACAGCAACCTCCAACTCCTGGGCTCAAGCGAGTCTCCTGCCTCAGCCTCCCAAGTAGCTGGGACTACAGGCACCCGCCACAATGCCTAGCCATTTTTTGGTTGCAGCCATCATTGTTGTTTGGCGGGCCCGGGCTGGGGATTCGAACCCGCCACCTTAGGTGTATGTGGCTGGCACTTTGGCCGCTTCAGCCACAGGTGCCGAGCCAGTATATTCGTTTTTTAACTCTTTTTTTGTCAACATTATTTAAGTATGCTGCAGAAGGTTCAAGTGTGCTGTGAGATTTAAAAAAAAAAAGTTGGAAAACATTGTTTTAGAGTATACATTATAATGTCATGCACCTTTGAATGAAAAGCATAGACTGGAGTTCAAAAACTGTTTTGCCTTCTACTAGCTAAATGACTATGGACCAGAACTTAACTCTGAGCCTCAGTTCCCCATCTGTCAATCGAGGGCTACAAAAGTGCACACCTCCTACCATTAACATGAAGAGTAAATGAGAAAATAAATGTCAAGAGTCTGACAATAAGTGACTAAATTCTAGTTGTTTTTGTTTTCTTTCCTCCTAGGTCACAATGAAGCCAACATCCACTTCTTTTAATGTGCGATGAAAGCAATTTGTAGGAGAGGCTCCATGGAAGACATCCATATTTGCATCCTTCTTGATATTGAAAACTGTCTTCTTCGTTTGTAAGGAACTAAAGCTAAATGCTGAATAAGCTCATTGCAGTTACATATTGTGCATCGTTCCCATATTTGATTCTATATCCAACAGATATGACAGCATGTCTCATTGGCTTAGCTGGTAGCAAATTTGGCCCTATCAACCATCCTGCTAACATTGGCAGCTCTGTTAAGCCTCAGGGGGACAAGAAATCATTGCTTCTTGGGACACATGGTAATGCTGTGCCTGGATGGAACTATTTATTTAAAGAAATGTCAATGTTGTCATCTGTGAACTTCATAAAAATTAAAAATGTATTTTCGATATGCTTAAATGGAGTCTCTGCTGCTATTTATACTGTTTTTCCCAGGAGAGCTTCAGGAACCTGTAAGCTCTTTGTTAACTAGGCTAACCCATCCACAGCAAATACAACACACTTGGGATGGATCTTCCATCCATCCTGAAACATTCCTCATTGGATTAGAGCTTTGAGAGTGTCAAAGAAGACAATTCACATTTGTTTTTAGAGAATGCCCTGGTCCCCAGCCCCAGTGGTTACCCATGGACTTCTCCTTGACTTAGGTTTGCCCTTATCCATCCCAGCCCTTCATCCCCATGACAGCCCTTCCATGTAATTCTTGGCCTGCAAAGTCCTTTAAAAACAACGGCTCAGAGTTTTGAAACAGAGATCACAGACTAGCCAAACTAGAAAGGTCATCATGCCACCTAATCCAATTTGTTTATTCTGTGAGGTGCCCAGAAAATCTTTCTCATGGGCCAGCATTAAGTTTAATAGAAGGCATTCGTATACTTAACAAATAATGCTGTGCCTGCTATATGCTACGCACTATTCTAAGCACTGGGAATAGAGCAATGAACTGAACAGAACAGAAAAAGCTCCCTGCCCTCAAGGAGCTTGCATTCTAGTTGGAGGAGGATGAGATGATACAAGCTGCAGAGACATAGACCCTCCATATTAGAAGAAAGCTGGAATATCATGTAGGAATTTTCCCAGCATCAACATCCCTAGCATCTTCTGGAACCACCAATGACAAATTGCTGAGTATAACTTCCAATTGACCAGGTAGTCAGTTTCACCTGCAGTCAGTTAATTAGCTTAGTTAGTTAGAAATGTCAGCCCCTTTTACACACCGACCCTAATTATTTTCTCAGGATCACATAGAATTATGTTCCTTTCTCCCCTTCAATCTGTGCTCACTACAGTAGTTCAACCATTGCTGTGAAAGGTAAATCAGATCACATCTCTCTGATGTTCCAAACACTCCAATGACCCCCACTCACACTGAGCACACACCTAAGGCATTGCAATAGCTCACAAGGTCCAAATTGATCTTACCCTCCTCTCCTCTCACCGCCGTTCCCATTATTTGCCTGGCCTCATCTATTCCTCATACTCCCACACACTGGCCTTCATAACATTCCTCCAGATCTATCTCCTGCATTCAGCCACTGGTGAATCTTTACATATGCTGGTACCTCTGTGAAGAACACATATCCCATGGCTCCCAACCCCTCCTTATCTTTACTCAAAGGTAAAGATAGCCTGTTTATCCTTTCCAAAATTGCACCCCACCAGCATATCATAGCCTTCCTTTTCTTAATGTTTTTCTCCTTACTGCTTACTTACTTAAACCTCCTACCATACTACATATTTTGCTTATTTGTTTGCTGTTTGTAAGGCCATAAATGCAAGGATCCCATGGTCAGGGTTATGGCTACTATATTAATTATCCTATCCCTAGATATGGGGAACAGTGTGCCTGGTACAAGGTAGCATTCAATAAATATTTACTGATTGACTGAATGAACAGAGTTGTCTTCTTCCCTTTATGTTTGTGGTCAACTCTCAGGCTCCCTCTGGGACTGATTGTCTTTAGCTAAATTGTCCAAGAGACTTAATTTCCAGCAATTATAATACCTGGATATTTAATGCCTCAACTATCTGAAGACTTCAATGGCTACTAGTTTGTCAATACCTCAAGGCTTTCACTCAGACTATTTTTTCAGTTTAGACACACTTCTAACTCCATTTTTCTCTTCCACTTGATTAATTCTGACTAGTTCTCCTCCTCCTCCACCTCCTTCTTCTTCCCATGCAGTAAACAAAGCAGATAGGCAGGGCACTGTCTCGGTATGACCGCTATGATGAGTTACATCAAATTAGGAAGGCAAGTAGCAGGAAGATCATTTTAATCCTGGATCCAGGGACACTTCACCAATAATAAAGCTAATACTGTTCTGGATTCATACTAGTACCCTGTGGATATTTCAAAAATAACCCAGAATTCAGAGTTAGATAGTGTGGTTATTTGAATCCTGAAACAAAGCATAGGGGTCACTGGGTCAGGAACCTAAGAATAGATCTAAGAAGGTCATAAGGTAATCAAAGTACAACAATGGAGAAACAATGACTTTTGTTGTGGCTGTAGCAGCAGTCTTTACTATTTAACAGACCATTGTAGAAAACTAATGTCTTTTAACACCAATTATGGCTCATCCCAAACAATCAGAGGCTCAGTACATATGCTGTGTCTGATTTAATTATTGTTTCCAATTCTACACTGTACTCAGTATTATTATGTACTCTCATCATTGCCATGGCTTCATGGGTAGGATAAAGTTGACTTCTCTACTCCATGACTCTTGGCTTGGCCATGTGTGAACTAATGGGATATTGGTAGACGTGGTGCAAGTGGAGGCTTGAAATAGGCTTATGTGGTTGGGTTTGGGGTTCTTACCCTTCTGCCATTGCCA